TCTTGCCAAAGATGCATGCGTTGTTATGTATTGTTCAGCGACATCTCATGATAATCTCATTGCCTTTTGAATGGGCAAAACTCACCATGACCGCAACATGATAATGGTCTATTCATAATCAATCTTGGAGGACGACTGCACTATAAGGAGTGCATCAGAATGATAAACTTATAGATGTCAGATGTAACTGGGACAGGAAAAAAAAGTGGGGCCAACTTTATAGAATGACCCAGCTTTACGTAAGTCACTGCATCCATTTAAAGAGAAACAAATAATATAGTCAAGAAGCGGGAAAGCGTGTTTTCCGCTGCAGCTGTTGAGAAACCATGGAAATACAAAAGCTATGATATCCAAAAGACAGGAAAAATTAAGGATACCTTCCGTGTACCATCGTTACCTCTTTTGGCTTATTCCTATAATTAAAAGTCCCTCTAATAGATAGTTCTGGTATAAACAGGTTGTTGTTCCAAGTTCAAGTACCTGCTCCGCGACGCGTCGGTGCCCGCAATGTTTACTTTTTCTTTCGCGCCTCGGGCGGCGCCGGAGTGTTAAAGCACAATTCAAGTTTAATTGTCCACGTGAATCAGAGGTTTACCACTTTTACTTTTCATTTCGGGTGAATAAAACCATTTCTTTTGCTTCTGTTGCCTTCTGTCGTCCCCTTATTTATCCCAAAACCTGATCAATTCCGGGTGTAAAACGCCCACAAGGCTTTGGTAGGCTTCAAAAGCAAGTACATGTTGAGCGTGAAGTACTGGGTGTCAAAAAGAAAGTGACCCAGACTAAAGTTTTTTTCTTAAAAATCAATCAAATTTAATACACCAATGAAGAAAGTCTTGAAAGAGCATGCAGGTTCTTCCACTCATCTGAAAAAAAAATTACAGAAAAAGATCCATGCTATCAGCAGTTATGCATGTATTTCCTAAAAAGAACCCATTTTTATAGCTGTCCATGGAATGCCATTGAGAGCTATTGAGCTTAGAGAGATTTACAGAGGACACACAAGCATTCAAATACAAAGGAGATTTTAATAATTAAAATGAAGAGTGAACAATTATTTTTACTGTCAGATTTTGTGTTTTGAATAGGAGGACATGTCCATTTTTTTCTTTGAAATATTGATGCCGATTTTTGCAAATTCTCGTTCATTCATCGAGGTGGGAAAACGTCCATGTTTCATTCTACTCAGTGGCCATTCATGAGTTCGTAGAAGTAGAACGGTAGAAGTGGTGGACAGCCGAGTTTTGTGATTTTTTTTTAATGAAATAGACATGACTTGGGAAAAGAGTCTGCAAATAACGTGACATTTTCACAGTTAAACGTCAATAAGATGTACCTTATCCCTATTTTTTGGTGTGAAATGGAGCAAGCCAAATATTTAAAATTAAAATATTTTTCATTGGTCAGTTTCTTTCTGACTCATCCTGCATTTTGATCGCACTATAATAATGTCATAGATGGGCTTTAAAAATATCACTAGTTATCACCAGAACAATAAAGAAGCGTTGAACTTCGCAGTGCTCTGAGTCTCGTCATAAAATGTTGATGTTCTGAAGATTAGTTTCATTGCCTTTTGGCGCTAAGCGGCGAAGTTTCGAAAGGTATACGCGATCAGATTACGAGTAAGACTGAGTGAAAACAACTCCCGAGTGCAGTCAATGAAGGTAAGACTGAAAATAAAATCTTTAAATTGTGATTACATTGATACGCTATACCAATAAAGTTTTACTGGGTGAATGGCTTACTAAACATCAATATAAATCCATATTGGTCTGACAAAGATTGAAGACAGTATTGGAGACAGTATTGGGTGGTGTTTATAAATACTCCTGGCATGCGACTACCCTGGAAGGTTCTTTCCCTCGCGGACAATCTTGACGTGGTCAATGCGTTGCACCTGTACAACACTCGAGAGTTGCCAGTTGTCGCGGCGTTGACAGATGTTTGAGCTCAAGCACAAGTGATGACACTTTATGGAGGTCTCACGAATTGATGGGTTGCATAAATTGCTTAGTTTGGGAACAATGAAAATTAAACAAATATGAGAAGTGGACTTGTGTCGTGATGTAAAGTGACAGTTGGAGAGTTGATTATACATACATCTCGACAACATTTAAAAAATAATTTAGTCCAAATCTCTTTAAATGAAAACAAGATTAAGCATGCATGCAAGTTGTCCTCAAACCAAACACACCAGAGATTTTACTTGGTAAAATACTTCTGGAAGGGTAAAATACTGGAACATCACATACACGAGTTCTGTTTAGATCTTAATCAGTTGCTTCTTGAATGTGCTATTTTTTCTCTCAATAAATTGGTTTTCTCTAAATAAATTGTTGGAGACAAGAGGCTTTTCAGATGAGCATAATGCAAGTATTGTAAATCGCTCACAATTTCTTTTGTATCCCAAAGTGGACGAAACAATCGGTTGCTGCATTTTATCGTTGGGTACAAGGGCCAGACAAAGATAAGTAAGTCTTTGGATCCTATCACATCAACGATTTGAGGGACAGCCACCAGACTTGCACGCTCTATTAAAAAGCAAATATAGAGTGAACAAAATGTAAGACTGAATAGCGGGATGCGGCGACTGAGGCAGATTCCCACACAGCCAACTCAGGACTTTGGAGCACTGTCAAGATGAGCAAATACTCGCCTTTATCCCCGTCACACTGAGCCCGTGTCTGGGCCCCTTACCCTGGGACGACAAGGTCAACAAACGCCGCGTGGATTTCGTTTGAACACCCTCCGTGGGCCATGTTGCGATACCCCCTCGCGCCGTGCTGATCCGACCGGGATCGGCCGAGTCGCACGGGGGCTCTCCCAGGACCCCCTCGGCAACAAGTAGCCGGCCACGTGCGGCGATAACCGCAACATATCCCTAGTGTCAACTGCCACGCGTGCATGTTCCAGTCAGGCTTTTGTAGCAGCGGCCCGCGAAGCCGCAGGCCGAGTTTTTGCCCCCGCGGGGGAGTCCGCACGCGACTGCTAGTTTGTCCTGTCGGAAGGTAACTGATTCTTAACAATTATTATCAGGGGCTTGCTCCAGCAGTCAAGTGGCCCCTAGGGACGTAGCGGGATCGGGCGATCGGAGCAAGCCACGGCAGGCGCACTTCGTGCGCCACGGTCAACCAATACACCCTGAAATCGGAGCAACAACTCCTCAGTGCTTCATGAGAAAAATGATAAACGAGACTCTAATTGAAATTAAAAAATAAGTGTAATGATTAATTAATAATCATTATCGTGTGGGATCGCGATGGCAGACAGGTACCGGATTGCCACGTTTTACCCGTCGTGTGCGTGTGCTATAACGTATCTACCACTAACTCTCCCTTTTTTTGGGTCGTGCCTGATTTGAAAACGCCACCCCTAATTTCTCAGGTTTTCTACCTTGGATTGGAAGAGGGGAAGCTTATTTGGGCGTCCAGCTGAGTAAACGACCCGCCCCACAAGAGGCAATACACCTGCCTCTCAGCCTCCGCTCCTACTGCAACATATATAATTGTCGTTGTTCTCAAGAAGAGACCCGACCTTTTTACATCTGGCAAACGTACATTTGAAGTTAATCCTTAAATAAACAACTATCTTTTGTTTCCAACCAGTTTGCGATCGCCGAGTTATGCACTGTTCGCCTTATACTCAGTGTGCAAAGTATCTCAACAATTAGGATGTCCACGTTTTGATGGTCCCACGAGCAAAAAAGTTTAATTAACGAATCATTGTTTAATCAAGATAGATTTTGTACAAACAAGTATGACTTAGCAAAGAACAAAGTGTGCAAATAATTATTGCCGGCTCTGTGACTCCCCCACCAACGGTCAATGTAGGGATTTTCAGGGTAATCAGGGTAAATCGTGACATTTTCTATTTCAATCAGTACTAGTATAAACATTGAACTATCTGGTTTCTGTTAATGTGTGTGTGTAGGTGTGAACCGTAAAGTCCTGTATTTTTATACACGTTTCCCATTTATCGTTACGATACTTTTTACACGGTTTTAAATTCTCCCTGCTATGCTACAGTCGCCAAATAAACTCTATGTGGTTATTTTGTCTGCATCAAACAGCACATGACTTGTGTGTGATGGCGTTCAACAAGTGTCATCCTCAACCAATTATTATTAGTTGCGCACACGTGAAATAGGAGTTGAGATATTATATTTTGAATTTTTAAGTCTGTGCATGGATACGCATGCATTGGTGTGATGTTGATATTATGCATGAATTGAAGTGCAACAATTGGGTATATGCAAATTCAAAATAGAAAAAAGAAATTAGGTTTTGTATACGCTAATAGCTTCTTCGCTACTCTCTCTATATGCCTTCAAAGCCATTAGCAAGCGACATGACTGTCCCGTGCCAACCATATTGTCTCGATGGAACAAGGAGACTAAATTTGCATATTTTATGCTGAAAAGTTCCCATAAAAGTTAATTACCTAGCCCAGCGCAGCCAGGACGAATATATACGGGTGGGTTGTTTGCTCGTACGATAGCACAAACGTATATTTATGTATTTTTTCTCTCTCTCTTCTGTTCGCAGCATTATGTTTTGTCCGATTGTTGCTGGTAGTACTTCATTTTTGATGCCTCCATCTTTTTATGAAAGGCGATTTTTCTCACTTTCTCCCAGTCTCCGTCGTGGAACTTTGCGAGTAGGTTGCCTTTAGCTAACCGGTGGGTCATATTTTTGTCCTCCTCCGCAAGTGCGATATTCGATTCTTAAGGTGCCATACATCAGAAGACCCACCGCCTCTTTGCCCGTATACGCCAGGTATTTTAAGGTAAGCAGTACTATTGATTCTATTCATGGTATGCAGATATTTTTTTATTTTATTAAAACACATCTAGGGATTTACGTTTTAAAGCAGTTGGGCAAAAACGGCTGGTAGTTGATGAATTTGGCGGGTCGGTGTAGTGCAGTCAGAGATACAGGAAAAAGCAGGCATCGTATACTGGCATACCAGCCTATTCTACAACTATAAACAGCCAAACAGTGTCAAACCAACCCATATTGTTTAGACGACATATGTAATCATAAAAAAGTATCATTAATCAAAATTCAATCCATGCCCCTGCGTAACGACGAAAATTGACCGAGGTTCCAGTCCGCGTTTTGCGAGCGAGCGGTTGTGCCATGAAAACGGTACGGGCCCATCGCGCCTCTTGCTCGGTATGTGTTTACGCTGGCGCTCGCTGATTGTTTTGAAAGAATGCTCGTGTGAATGACGCCTAACTTTCAAAATCAGGACACTGTCGCTCCAACACATGAAGGAATACAAATGATACCATTGCTCGACAGCGAATGAATTCATCAGGTATGTAATATAACATAAATTACAGCAGTTTTGTGTAAGTGGTTGAATAAATAACATTCTATACAAATTGAGAGGTAAAGGACGTGTGCCAACGTTACATCGAATGATGGCCTTGTGAATTTGTAATTAATGACTGTTTTATACCATAAGTTATTTTTAGAGCTCCAGCCATATTTTAAAAACCACTAAACACTGTAATAGATTCGAGTCAGTCTTGACAAATTTGACAAAATAATTGTAAAAAAAGTTGTATTTTTCTAGTATAGTTTCAATATCTTCTGGCTACATCAAATTCTCAAACTTCAGTGCTGTAGTGGAGACCGTTCCCAGGACTTATAATACTTCTATATTTTTTATCAATTAGTTTAATTGTCTACCAAAAAATGGCTCTGAGAAAGAGGATATAAGGTTTCATTATTAGATGAAAAAGAATTTGAATATTTGAAGAACGAACACTGATTTCAAATTTCTCACTCGACATTAATACGACTTTGTTCTTGGCCCTTTCGTCATTGAAAAAAAAATGGAATCAGGGATTTTTTTTGGAAAAAATGTAGCTTCAAAGACATTTATCATATCCAAGTTAAAAAAAATGAATGTCCCTCAGACGTTTAGACCTACATCGCTTAACAGTGAGTAAGCTTTCTAAAGTTGACATAGATTTTATTCGTTACAGTACGGACTTTTTTCCTGAACGTTGTGTTCTCCGTCGATTCAAATATCAATGTTGTGTTTGTGTTTTAATAGATTTCAAAAGTGGTACGCCATTAAACATGGCAGAATAAACCAGCAATTTCGTTTTGAATGAAACTCCCTTTTCGGACAATTAGGGGCTATACTGAGAAAATGCTCCCCCGTCAGCCTAAATTACTGAGTAATTTGCATAATTCCCTCCGTGTCTGGGTGGAATCGCTTCAGGCGATAACTCGAAGCTCTTTGCTTTTTCCCAAACTGTGTCAAAATCATCGCGACAACCGGACGGGCATTCCCGTTCTCCGGACACGTGTGCGCCGGAGCCCCTCAAGCAACGGTCCCCACGCGTGTTTTGACGCCTTCACCTCGCCGGGCATTTCGGGGTTGGGGCATGTAAACTCCGGATGGGGGAACATGATTGAACTGTGCATGTATACGCTGACAAAAAAGTGCGAGACGAGACGCAAAGACGACGACTCCCGGACAACGTATGCAACAACATTACACACACTGTGGTGTGAAAAAGATGGAACAAAACCCCTGGGTGACAGTGTAGAGTAAGCCCTGGGGCACGAGTGCACGTGGCCTGTTCACAAGGCATACACGAACCAACAATACCCCGGAAAATAATGACTTTAATCAAGGTTATAGCTGAGGGCTAGAACCATATTGGTACAGGGGCTAAGCCTATAACCCAGGGGAAAGTACCAGCTAATTTCAACTTCGAATAAATTTGCTTGCAAAATCATAGAGGGGCACCAACGAACCAAGAAAAGTTATTGTTCTGAAGAAAGTATACACCATTCCGATAACTTTTGGCTTCACCGTGTTTTGCAGTATTTCAAGCTACAAGTTGCGTTCGACTGCAGACCTGGCATATACAAATCGACGTTAGCTTAGGCCCTATAATTTGTTGATTTTTTCTCTGATTAAACAAAAATTAGTGCCTCTATATAGACTTGTGTTCACGTATCTGTAGCTTTTCCGGAAGTGAAAATCGTCGAGTCTTATTGCGCGCACGCGCAGTCAGAATACCGAAATGATAGGCCATATCTGTCTCTAAAATGAATTAAAAAAAAAAACCTCTGCAATCTGATTTATTCAAGTCATTGAAGAGTTAAATTGGAAAGATTACTTAATAAACGCCAAAGGTCGATTTTTGTTAAAAAGAAACTGTTGTTAATTCCAAACAAGTTTTATTTGTTTACTTCCACCACTAACTAAAAAGCGTATTAGGAAACACTCTTGATGACATCTTGACATCAGACACAATTTCTCACAGTTTTTAACATCTATCTACCAAACCTATCGCGAAATGAATTTTGAATTTAGTATATTCTGTGTGTTACAACAATTTTCCCATTTTGAAATAAATTTCTGGAAACTCCAGAAACAACACATTTTTATATTTCTCACTGATATAGAAACTGTGCCTCTTGAGATCCTTTTGAGGTCGATTTTTAGTTACAGAAACTCGAGTCTCTCGTGTCTCTCAAATTTCCGTTTGCTACGTCAAATCCTTTTTTTTTTCCAAACAAAAATTAAATATAAAATAAGATGTCTGTAACACCTGTCAACATCCAAATTACTGAATATAATAACAGACAAAAAAATGGAGATGATTCCTTTTCATGTTCAAATTTTGTCAACGGCTGTTCCGGTGGTGGTTGGCAAAAGTTATGCAAAATTGAAGGCCGTCCAGACAAAATGGCGGTCAGTGATTGCCGTCAAAGAAAGGCCTATTAGCCAGACTATTTTGATGCATTAACATCGTGCCTCACAGTTTGTTCAAAACACCAATGTGTAGGCCCACGACAATCATCCTCAATGTAATTCCGGGTTGTTTTTTGTGTGAGTTGAAAACGGTGGTCAAAAGAACATATGGAAAATGTTTTAATTGGGGGTAGGGCCTCAACGTTGGGGCCCCCAAAAAGCTTTTGAGTTCTGACAGCGTAGGTCTAAGCGGGGTTGGTCTTGCCCTCGTATTGTGCCGGTCGTTCCCCGCCCCGACTATACAACACGGATACAATGCCGAGAACAGTCAGTTTTTTTTGTACGAGTGTTTCATGCTAGCGGCGCGCCCTGTAATGCAAGAACAATCCATCATACCGAGAGACACATAGCCGCTATACGTGTCCAACCCGTTTACGCCAAACAGCGTCAACTCATGGCCCGTTGGCGTACAGTCGTGTATGGGCCGACTACTAATGTAGTATCATTTTGTTAATTAAAGCAAAAGCATTGCCTGCAATATCTTTTTTCTCTCTCTCTCCCTCTTTCAAAAGAGAAAGCGGTCTTTCTTATCGCCACCTGCCCTGTTTAAAAAATAAAATAAAAAATACGGCCGAGTTATATATACGAGCACATAAATCAGAAAGATTTCAATATGAAATTCGGCTGGAAAATGGCACCGGCAATTGTTGCGGGCATAGAATTTGTGTTTTCCCATCAATCATTTTGGAATTTTTTTTTTTAAAATAATTTTAATTTCCATGTTGATCATGCAAGCCCCACACTGCGAGATATTAATTACCGTGTACGCGGCTAGCTGAAGACCGTGCGGGCTCCTCGCAGAGGCTATCCACAAACGCCTCACCGAAAGCCACATTTCGGTAATCCTTTCAATTTTTCTCTGATCGTCGAGCGACTTTTCCCCCTCCATTCTCCACTCGGTATAGCTGTGTTCACTGCATAACGCACGCGCCTCTGTTTTAATTATTGAATTCGTTTAGCATGATTGACACATTCTGAAAGATCCGCTTTTGCTAAGCTGACGATATCACCATTCATACTCCAATGAAAGCATCCCGGATTTATGATTATGGAGATTGAACATGAACGTAACATGGACCTAGTGTCTTTCTTTAATCACCCATAATTATTCTCATCCGCCTCACCCAGAGACGTACGTTCCAAATTCTTTTGAAAAAACTGCACTCGAAACCAAGCTTCCGAAACCAAAATAAGGTATGAAATTATTTCGTCGGAGATGTTGTCATTCACAGGAGAGCAATTAGGCCCTGTATCAAGTTAAAAGGGCATAAGAGCCTAAGGCCCCCCCAAAAAAGTATCCGGTTTCTGGTATGGAGCTTGCCCCAAAAGTGGTGCGGCGACGCGGCTTTTTTTTTTTTTTTACCTCTTTTTTTTGGGGGGGGGGGGGGGCTTCAAATGTCGGCTGATGACTGCAAATGGTGCCCGACTAAACTTAGTGCAAATATATGGGAGTCCAGAGAGGCCACATAAAGCTTATTCTCGATCATAACCCCACCTAAAAACACGTTAAAATTGTGCAGCAGCAGGATTCCAGTCAAACCACTGAGTTTGGCGGTTTTGAGACATCATCTTGTATTGAATTTTTTTTTTTTTATTTTGCCGACGCGCATGGCTACGGCAACGCGCGCGCATTTTTTTTTCGATGAAGTTGTTCATGTAGCACTTTGGAAATCTAGGGTATGAAAGCCCAATTGATAAGCTTTCTTTTAGTACAAGAATCGTTCATATCACTCATGCACTTTTCAAGTTACGGAATTTTAAACACAAACATCGTTTTAGGGTTCTGTCCACGGATCACAAAAAAGGAAAAAAAACAAACAAAACCAATTCACATAGAGTTGCTGAGAGTACACTTACTGTTTTTGTGATCCATGGATAGAACTTTAAAACGGTGCTTGCGGTTAAAAATCCATAACTCGGAAAGTACACGAGTGATTTGAATAATTCTTGACTGTACTAAAAGATAGCTTATTAGGCCTAATTGGGCTTTCATATCCTATATTTTAAAAGTGCTACATGCAGAACTTCATTTTAAAAATGGTGCTGATATTTGAGTTTCCTTTTTTTTTACTCACCCTGTAGATCAGCGCATGCCAGCAACGATAGGTGGTTGATATTATTGCTCCACCCTCTGTGGTTAGTCACATAGTCTCAGGCTCATCCTAAAAGTAGCTTCGGCACAAGGAAGAAAACGGAGGTAAATAAGGGAATGAGTACTTTTGTCCTGCTTTTTAGTTACGCTCGGTCACCAAATGAGCAAAATCAGAGGATTTATTCTATCAATTAAAATTCAATTTGGTTAATTCACTATGGTGAAGACTTCATTTTGGTGTTCTGTGTTTGTAGCGGTAGGGGACAGGATTCATGATCGAGAGATTGTGGGTTCGAGCCGATGTGGCCATGCGTGTTGGGCCCTTGAGTAAGGAGTCAGGCGCTTTACCTCAATTACTCCTCTCAACCCAGGTGTTAAATGGGTCACCGGCATTATTCAATGCTGGGAAGGTAACAGACTCGCTGTGGAGGAGGTGTGGCAA